TTTTTTTTCAAACATCTCAGGCCTCTGTGGGGTTGGTGTGAGAGTATGTACACAGATCAACAAATATGATCAGAAACAAATGACAAACTTTCTGTGCTAGCAGCACGCAAGTGATCAAATAGTTACACATCAAAATTTCAGTCTCATGACAAATTTTAAAGATCAGACCAGTATTGACTTTTTTCTTTAACATGTATTCAATATGAATACATATGTGGTCCAAAATAACAAATCTTCTACAGCATTTTACAGTGTTTTACTGTACTACTTACTACGATTACCTGCAGCTCTTTTTCATCATCAGCCTGACTTTTTACTCTTTCATGCCAGGTTAGCAGATCTAAGAAAAGAATTATGTGATCAAAAAATATTCACTATCATGTCTGCATGCCAGGCTCTTAACAGATGTTTAGATCAAATAGATCAACAAGGAGCAAATTTCATGCGAGTTAACTTAATGCTTAACTCACCATATTAAATTAAGACTACAGTAACTGCTCTGACACAAGTAGAGCACAAAGTAGAGCATAAAGTGTAGGCTTTACTAACACGAGGATGGGCGTTAACGAGTACACACTGAAATATAATAGAAACCTATTTTCTCATACTGAGATGCACATAAACACAGTAATCATGAAAGCTGTAAGTTGTCCTCCGTGATTTCAAACTGTACAAAGAAACAATTTAGAGGCACAATGCACCAAAACGAAAGTCAACACACAAAGGATCTCAGCAAGTGGAGGAGTTGTTTCTATGGTGACCAACACAAATTGGTGCAAATGTGCTTCAGTGAATGAACGTGAAAGGGAGCAACAAAAAAGAACAAAATATGCATATACTGTTTGAAGTTGTGCCTATAATCGCACAGTGGTGAAGATTAAGAAACTTTGATTTTTCTGCAAAAATATTTTCCATTTATTTGACATTTGTCAGTAGATGTATAAACACACACACACACACCTTGAGGTGACTGTTGTGAACTGGTGCAATACAAACAAAACCGAACAGAACTGAATAAAATGATAATGTGATATATAAAAGAAAAAGAAAACACCTGAGACAAGATTTTAAGTGCCTGTTGCTTACCTGAGACAGCCTGTAGCATTGCGCAGCACCTGGGATGTATGGATGTGGAGCTTGCGGTCATCATGGTGATTTGGGGAGGAGTCCCAGTTAGAGTGGGGTATGATGACACTATTGGTCAGAACGGCCAAGGCATCCTGGATGATTGGCATCTTCAGTGCATCACATGATGACAGGTTCCAAAGCACACCTGCATATGAATGTGTTCAGAAAATAAGAAACATTATCCTATTTATGTTTAGACCAATCTTCTTAGTATTTACATTTGTTCTTTTTCAGTGCTTCTCTTTTCATTCTCCATTTTCCTCTCATTCTAATTGGCTGAGGCATGAGGGTGCCTACTGTGAGTCTCCTTAAGTCTTAGGTTTTAGTCCAGTTAAAGGGGAACTGTTCTCTGAACTTTAGACATTAGAGGTGCGTGTTAGAAACACAAATGTTAAATGCAGATGAATCAGACATAAACTAGTCTTTAACCTACTAAACTCCCCAGTACAATGTCTGTGTGATGTCTGATTGAGCCAATCTGCCACTAAAACAGTGTTGGTAATAGTTCAGTGAATTCACAGCCAGCAAGTGCATGCACCACACAGGCAGCACCGTTGCCTAAACCAAGCAGAACCCTTCTTGTAGCAAGAATGAATCTTAAGCAGACTACCTCCTGCTGTGTGCTACATGTGATTGCAAGCTTTGGATAATGTCCTGACCTAAATCTTCCACCATTATCCATATTTCATGTGTGGTACACACACTGCACCAAAATTTATTTTGTATAATCTTTTACATTGGTATGATCTAAGCAGCCTACTGTCAAAGATGCTGTTTGCTTATCATCTTCATCATCATCACCATCATCATCATAATGAAGGATTGTGGAAACTGTCATTGCCAATGTAGACTTACACTGACTAGATAATAGTACGACACTAATATATAAACCACCAAGAACGCTGATTGTTGATTTAGTTTTCTGCAAAGTTTTATCGACTAAATTACATTTACAAACTTTGTAAATAAAACCTCATACTTTCATAAATCAAATACATCTTTAGAGCTAAAAATATTTATCCAACCGTTTCATTTTCATCAAATGAAGTTTTAAGCTCTTCTATAAAAAAAAAAAAAACAAAAACGATTAACAGTTATTTGATCTTACATACCTCATTAACTGCTGTGCTACAACTTTCTCCAAAACCTAATAAAAATGTGCTTGGTTCCATTCACTGTTCAGAAATGTACATGTGAAATACATTTGGCTACATTTTGGGAGTCAGGGCAGCAAATTACTTTAAGAAATAAAAACAGCCTAAAACTGTTTTTTAACCTTGAGCAGAATGACACTGATCTCAGACACACCTTTTCAGAGCATGCGAGGACATATTTCAGGACTGGAAATGCTAACAATAGCACCTCCCTATATTTATCACTTTTGAGTAAGCCACCCACACTTTTATTTTTGAATCCGACTCTTAACTGTGAGAAAGCTCCAACTGGCATTATTTATGACATGCTGTGTCGTACAAAACGCACACAAACTTATTGCCAAATTAATTTTACAGCAATGCATAAACATAAAGCCAGCAAACACAGCTGCATGGTCATATAAATAACCTGGCTGAAAAACAAGTTTTTATGTTTTTATGTATCCATGATATACTAAATCGCCTACAAAGACACATGGATATACAACACACACAAACACACATACACACAAATACACTTTTTTTTTTTTTGCTTCCTGTCAGATGGGATACCAGATGCCTTTTCACAGACCGGTGACAGCAGTAGCCCTGTTGGTCAGCTGTGACACACTCATACGTATCAAACACACACGTGTGCTCATACACACACAGGCTACATTAGCACTGTCACATTCTAGATATGTTAGTTAGTTTCTGTGGCTTTCATTGAACTTTCTTACATAGCAAAAAACAATAAGGTAAAAATATAGGAACCAGAGTGACAGGGATAAATAAAATAAGAAAATATAGATATATCAGTAGCACTGGTGGATTAAGGAGCTGAGAGACTGCCGAGAAATTGGAACAGATTGCAACAAGAGGAGACAACCTCCTTTAAAGCTACAAGAAACTATAAAAAGCTGTGGTGCTATAGGTCATCATCTCTCGTGTATTTCGTGTCAGACTCCAGATGCTGCATGTCCCAATGACAGATGTCGTTCATTTGCACAGTTAGCAAACAATTAAAATATGGGCACAACTCACAATATGCTGCGCCCCACAGTTCAGAGAAACTGTCAGTGAGCTTAAAGGTGTCCTTTCATTCAGTAATTCTGAGTGCAAAATCCAAAGATAGAGACTGCATCTGTTTTCTTGTAGTTAAACCTGTAGTTAAATCTATGTAGTTAAACCTGGACCTCACTTATTATGTGTTGGGGAGCAAACAATTAATTAATAAAGCATATTTAAAATAAATATACACAATAAAATCCCAAAGTATACAAAATTTGTTCAACTTCTTTCAAGCATGAGAACTGAAAGGAAAAATGCACTTTAAAAAATAAATATAAAGGTACTGAAAATAAAGATAACAAAGGGCTAGAAAAATAAACTGTCATCTGTGGACTAATATGAATAAAGCCTCACTTGACTGAAACATTTGTGGAGGCAATGGATGTTAAGTAGCAGCCAGCTTTGCATTCCCCAAAGCAATGCCAGTCTTGAAGCCTTACACTATACTCTACTACATACGGTCATAATGTCAATCTCAGGGAAAGGGATTGGAAGAAAATGAGGCCAGTGAATAGACAAGGAAGGGCAGTGAGAAAGCAAATGCCAGTGTTACTTAGCCAGTGGGTTAATTCTTAATTACAAATGCACAGCTGTTAAACCCAAATAATTAATATTTAATAATTTAGACTTAATAGACCACTGCAGAAAGCAAATGATTAGATGGAATATGCATAAGACTATATATAAGTTTATACAAGAAGAAAGCTAAAAGTAGAGACGGGGAGATGTAATTGGGAATTTGAGAGAAGAGTTTGTGTGTGTGAGAGAGGGCAAGAGAGAATGAGAGGAAGCAAGCTTGAGAGGACAAGAGAAGGAGGGTGATAATAACACAATGACCTTGTATGCTGCTTGGCAGCAATCAAGAGCTTGTACTAAGGCATGTGAGTGTGAGTGTGGTAACATTTGCCTTCACTTTCACTAATCAGCCTCTTGTTTCACATCTCAACTTTCTGTCTTTCCACTTAATCCTGCTATTCACACAGGCTCTTCTCAAATCAAAGTAAAAAAAATAAAATAAGGCAATAAGCTCAAACATATGCAAGCATGCACACACTCTGTTGCCACCTTAGTGAAGACACACATTCAGCAAAACACTTGACTTATAAAGCTGAATGCTGTCAAACATCTTCTGTATTTCTCTCTGCTTCTTTTTCCCGCGTCGGTCTGTTTCTCATGTGGTAAGTGTTTTCAGTGTATGATTGCAATCAGGTTAAAACAGTGTTGTCTTTGATGAGCTGACAAGAAGCAGCACTCAGCAAGCCTTTCTTTATCTGCTCGGGCCAATACATCTAAACAAACACACATTGAGACACAATACATGCTCAGGAAGCGACACGTTGATTTTTGTGCAGGCGCGAATGGACAAAAACACTGATTAAAAGGAGACACGTAAAAGGATGCACTGATCAGTTTTTTTTTCTGGGGCAAGGACATTGTACCGGCCACTGTCCAATATTCTGCAAATTTAAGGCTGACACACACATCGACACACCAGCAACCACACTTACACAGACTTGTCTGCTCTAGAAACATAGATATGTAATGCTTCACTAAACTCAATGTCCTTATGGGTATAACATCAAGTGACCAACAGACAGTGACATCATACTTCAAGCTTGTGTGCCTGTGAGTGCATGTGTCTGCGCTTTTTTTCTTTTCTCTTTCCTTGTCCTTATACCCCATCCCTCTCTGACTAGTTCCCTTTAGACATTTGACAGACAGCTTCCTAGGAGCCTGGTGGTTTGGGGGAGAGAGGAGATGATTGCATGAATTCATGAATAAATGAGAATGTGACTTGTAAGGGAAGAATGAGACCTGTTAGGCCTCAAGTGGTGATGTTTTATTAAACAGCCTTCATTTGTGCAGCTCACTGCGAATTAGTTAGCTGCTGGGTCACAACCTGGTGATGAGCAATGCCAGAGATGACAAATTGCATGGCTGTTGTGTCTATAAAAATCTGTGAATGAGAAAAACGGTAAATAAATAAATAAAATAACATAAAATAAAATAGTGATTTGGGGTAACGTTTTCAGACAGCAAGCTAGCAATTGCTGACTTAACCCCAGAGTCATCGAACCTTCATTTCAGCGGTAGGTTTGTTGAAGACCTTTGGCAGCACAAGGTAAAATCATGTATTGTGGGTAAACTGCCACTGCCAATACTGGAGATTTCATTACCACCAGAGAATTTCACAGTGAAAAGGCTGCATTGAAATTTCTTGAATAACAGCAGCATTTGGAGCTTGGGGATTTAGACGTTGACAATAGAAAATATTTTATGCCTTCAAGTAACAGGAAATGATGAACTGTATTTGTGAGTACAGCAGTATAATTCAACATTGTTGGGCTGTTTTTAACATAACCTTGCAACAGTGGAAAAGTCAGTCAGTCACTTCTGTACACAGGCAGTTATTCTCTGCTGCATTTCTCATAGCTTTTATTCTCATTACCAAACTGACTTCTGGAAATGAGCGCTTGCGTATGTAGCGGAATATATGTAAGCATATTGTTTTCATGTTCAATGCAATTCACAGAAACATGCATTGTGATATGCGTCATAGCTGAGAGAAGCAACCATGTGCAGTTTTTCATAGAGAGGAAGCGGATTAGATGGTGACTAATGGAAGTACTGAGAAGAACTAATTATAATAATCTGAGAAGATTTGTCCAAATGGAAACTTTTTGGATACAGCTGTCTTCAGCAGTTGCTTCTCCCCTCAGCCATTTCAGAGGAGGCAGCAACAGAAACTGTAGTCATGGTCCACTGCATTCAAGGTGAGCCCATGAGTAAGGATAGCATCTCCTATTGACATCCGAAGCCTCTGCATCGACCAGACTTTGACTGACAGACCCAGAAGCCTTGACTTCATCCTATCTACCTCACGCTCAGACCTAGGAAGCCAATAAAGCTTGTCTAAATTTAAACTTCAGAACCAACAGAGAGATAGGGTAAATAGTTAAAGGGAAGGTTTTCCAATCACCAAAAGTAACAAAAAAACTAAAATTTATGCCTGATTCTGAAGAGATTCTGTAATTACAAATTAGAGAGATGGATCAACATAGACGTAATAAGAAAGCAGAATTGGTACAATACTGGCATTTTTTTGAGTTTGGCTTTTGACAGCCATGTCTACGGGTAGCATAGGGTGACACAATCCTAGATCAATCTCTCCTAGTGACAGTCATTGTTTACTTTCAAATTATTCGGCCGTCAAGTAGAATTAAAGGTTAGACTTTGAGTAGAATAAAATTTGACACAGCAAAGCATCCGAGAGCAGAGACACTAACATGCAGTTACAGAGCATTAGCATCATTAGCTTTTCCGTAACATGTTTTAACTGCAAATTTTTCAGCACTGATCTACCGAAAGAGTTGCTATAGTGGCGACCGTGGCTCAGGGGGTTGGGAATCGCATCTGTAACCGGAAGGTTGCCGGTTCGATCCCTGGGCTCTCTGTCCTGGTCGTTGTGTCCCTGGGCAAGACACTTTACCCTACTTGCCTACTGGTGTTGGCCAGAGGGGCCGATGGCGCGATATGGCCGCCTCGCTTCTGTCAGTCTGCCCCAGTGCAGCTGTGGCTACAACTGTAGCTTGCATCCACCAGTGTATGAATGTGAGAGTGAATGAATAGTGGTATTGTAAAGCGCTTTGGGTGCCTTGAAAAGCGCTATATAAATCCAATCCTTTATTATTATAGAGTCACACAATTTCATCTGATAGCCGCTCAACCCAAATACAGTCCAACAACATTAGTTCTGTCCAACAGCACCTGGATTATAAGTCAGTGAATATGGTTCAGATATTACAAGAGTCTCAGCATTAATCCTCCCAGTTCACCATTTTTTGACACGTTCTCTCAAAAAGGGTCACCTGCCTTTAGCCCTTCATTTTTGTTCTTTGCGCTACAGACATACTTCATTTTTACATTTTTATTTTACAAAATTGAGGCTGAAAACGTTTAACTACACAAGCTCTGTAACACAGCTTTTATTAAAAACTGCCTTAAACTGGTAGGATTGTGTCAATGGCCAGGACAGCATAAATCACCACTTACATAATTAACTAACTGTAGTCCTTCTCTGTATTTGTGACAAACAACATCAACCTAACTGAATTACAGAATAATTATGCAACACTTCTTAGACGTGAATTACAGCAACAGCAGGGTGTTACGCGAGGCAAATTAAGACAGACTTCAAACTATGGCTGTACTGTCGTGAAAGCATTTAAAATGTGGAGTTTAATGCCAAGTACCAGAGGAAACAGACAACAGGGGAGACTCATGCATGACACTGAATCACAGACAGGGAAGGGCAAAGACAGGAAGAGTCAGGAAACGGGGGAAGCAGAGATAGAATTTCACAGTGCATGTCTGTCTGTGTGAGATGACTATTTATAAAAGTCGGAGCTCAAAACATGATGCGGTATGACTCGCAGTGAATTTTATTCACTGGTTAATCTGCTTACAGACCACAGACATTCCTTCCCCGAGCTGTTTTCTGTATCTTAGTCTCTCCAGCACGTTTATCATCACAGACATGTATACCTTGGGATCATCAAAAAAAGAAGCCTTTTTGTAATGACATTCTTACTTCTTTATCTTGAATATAAACAAACCTTGTTTTTTAGTGCAGCAGAGATTGCCTGCCGCCACACAACCTGTTATGAGGATATCATTAACAGTGAAAAGGTTCCAGACTTCCTTCCTCCTTCTCTACCCTCCTCTAGCGAGCTGTTATCGATATCTCAGGGGTTTGTAAAAGGACAGAAAAAAACTGTGCACTTGCTTGCTAGCTGTCAGCCTTATGATCCACCAGGGCCTCTTCCCCCTCATAGAGCAGGTGACCTAGTGGGATGGATTTTTGAATGTGTGATTAAAGATGAGCTCTGTTGTGCTAAGTAACAACGGAGACAGAGGTCAAATTGAGCATGAGGGGGCCCTAATGACTTTAGTTTAGTATTCTGTGTGAATGCGCTTTATGGTTTTGGAAGGTTTTGTGTATTTTTGTGTTTGAGTGAATGGGTCTGCTTTATTTCTGAAACTGTTAAATCTACTTGTATGAGCTTGCACATGTCTCTGCTATCTCAGGACTAACCAGGTGTAACAAAGAGGCCAAATGTAGAAAAACAATGGTGAGACAAGTGCAGATACCCACAGTCCAGCTCAACATGAAACAAGTGTGGAATCACATAAAAATCCAACGCACACACCGACAAAGGGAAAGAAAAGTGCGAAGCGAGCAGACACGAGATAACAAAAGATGTGAGTGAAGGACAACAGATGAAAGAAAGGTATTGGCTCTCTCATGTTTTATCACAGGAATCGATATACAAGTTGCTGGTGAGAGCTGCTTATAGGAAATCTTTTAGGCTGCTAACATTCAGATCCCCACTTATGACAAGTCACAGTTTGAGCAGCAAGATAATGTAATGTACCTTTTGTGCAGCTGATACCAAAAATATGAGAAAATTCAAAAATAGACATGGTCCTATATAATCATGCATTACAGGACAGTATTTATAATACATATGTTCCCACATGAAGTGGTCTAATCTAGTGTATTAACATAATGTATAAATCTTACTATAGTGCACTTAAACTCTGCCTGTCCATGAAATCACGAGTTCAGCAGACAAAAACAGCACACGGGTAAATCTCAGTAGTTCTGCATATTATATATTAGCATATTTTATTTCTGAAAGTGGAGAACTCAATCAAATTGTGCTGTGGATGATGTGACTGCATCAAAAAATGTCCCTAGTTAAAGGTTTTAATTTGAATGAGGGATTACAAAAAAATACTGGCAGCTCCCAGTGTTGCCTCTCAGCCTCCTCGTAGACGCACGTATCATATTAATGTAAAAATCCTAGGTGATTTTTAGTAAAGTTGACCTCTGACCTTGAGGTCAAGGCCACTGGGATTTGAACTCATCTGAGGCTTTCAGTTTCTGTACCTGTGGTATGGATTTAAAAATCCTACGTCGTCTCATGCTCAAGTTATCACATTCACAAACTTAGGTGTCCATGCTGGCAGGATGACATACCCCATCAACCTTTAACGGGTAAGGCATAGCTGCATAAGCATAATTCACAGACACTATGTTTCATCAATATTGCCAATGTCATACTGGAAAATAACTAGCTGACCACTGAAATTCCATATATCCTAGATGTTTGCTTGTGTGTAAGCACACATCTATGTGTTTCTTTTTCTTTTAAGCAGCGAGGGGTGCAGTGTTGTGTTACTATTTGCTACTCCTCTAGTAGAATATTAAATTCTCAGTGGGAGGCATATTGGAAAAAAAGATGATATCAGCTCAAATGTGTATTATCTGTGTTATTATCTAACACCTTATGTGGGTGTTTAAATTTAATCTATACATTTTTTGCCTAAACATATTTGAATGTGTATTTGCATGAACGCTTGTATGCGTGCACGTTATTAAGTTTGTGCGTGTGGGTGTATGCACTGCTGCAATGTGTGTTTCAACTACACCAGCTAGTTTGTAGTGTTCATTCCCTCAAGGTTAAAACAAGATTGATTCCTGCTACAAGTGTGGGGCTTTAAATTCCACTTTAAGCAAGAATTTGAATGCAAGGTGGGCCTATTCACCTTTTTATCATTGCAGACATGCAATAACAATTAATGCAAACAAAAAATAATAACCCCCCCCCCCATAAACATGCACTGCATTACATCTTACACGTCTTAATAAAATATGTCAAAAGGGACGCTTGACAAAACACTCCTAAGAATAAATAACATTCACAAGGATTGTTGGCATTCTTTGCAAGAGTCATACAAGTCATGGCTGCTGAGGACAACTGTGACTGAATGGTATCATTCAAGTGGAATGTGAAATAGTTGTGCAAGTAAAGAAGATGAACAGCCTTGGTTTGGTGAATAGTAAAGTTTTCTGACAAACACTAATTCACTAAAACTTGACTGTATGAAGAACTACATTCACTAAGCCAAAACGGTTGCGGGCGCTGTCATGGCCAACCGAGACCACTTAAGTCACTAAATAAGAAGTAAAACCACAATTAGACGAACGAATGAAAGACACATACAATATCAATACCAAGAAAAGACAGAAAGAAAGTTTAATTTTTTTCCTTTTGCTGGCTGAAAGATTCTTTCCTAAAGCAGCTTTAGTGTAGGTGTGTGGTATGTAGAGCAGCTTGAAAGATCCTTGCATCCTCACATATCAAATTCTATCCACACATTCACATAAACATGGGAATTGCACACACACACACACACACACACACAAACATATTCCATTAAAATCTCTCCCGAGGCCATAAACAGAGCCATGCTGGAAAATAACTGATATACGGTACATGCTAGGAGCTGAAGTAAAAAATTGTCACAGACAGCGTACCTGTGACTAGCTCTCTGATTTCCACATCTCCGGTCTTCCTCAGCAGGCGGACCAAGGCAGGAATCCCCCCGCAGTTCTTCAGGGTTACTTTGTTCTCATCATTGGCCTTGCCATACACCAGGTTTCTCAAGGCTCCGCAGGCGCTGCGATGGACCTCACTCATCCTGTGGTCCAGTAGATCAACGAGCAGCTGGATGCCTCCCTGTCTGCGGATCTGAGTATCAAAGAAATCGAATCAATCAAATCTGTCGTAAATGAATAATATATATATTAATAAAAATCAGCAGCAAGAAGTATTGTAGAGAATATTTTTTTCAATGCTGAAATTTTAATATCTTGTACTCCTGATGGCTGGTTATTTATCTATGCAAGTAGCTACTTCGTACACAGTGTGTATAATGTGTGTTTGTGTGCGCATGTGTGTATACAGCCTCCAGTGTCTGTCAGTCCTGCCAATCAGATTAACAGCACAATGTGGGCTAATTAAATATACTAATGACGGGGCTTTAACAAAAAATGACACTTAATTACACTGATTAGGGAAGAATAAGCTTGCTTGTGTGTGCCTGTATGTTATAGAATCTGCACGTTACCCGGCAGGTTTTCTGTGTGGTTGCCCTCCCTTCTTAGGTTTTTGTTTCCTTTTATCACATTTTTTTTTTGCATATGATAATTGATATGCATGAACAGTTCACTTATGAATTGGAAAACTAACGTTAAATTTTTATCTTAATGACTAAAAGATGAAAGGCAATCATGGCAGCCTCCACAGATTCAGTGACTAGTGGTTGTTTATCCTTTTTAAGAAGGCGTGTAACACACACATTCCAAAACCATGCATCTGTTACCTTGATTTATTTTAAATGTGTATTTCAGCCACCAAAAGGCAGGCATAGCAGGGAAAAATTAAATTAATTGAACACTTCTTTAAACTGTACATGACGACTCACCTAACTGCACAGCAAATCTGTACCCAGCTACACTGCTTGCCTTGTGTCTGCTACTATTTTTGCCTTGTAAATACACATGAAGAGAAACATGCTTAGCCACAGTTTGAGAAATAAACAAAGTCAATCAGTTTAGATTTATGATTATATCTCGATTCTGTGAGAGGGCGAGGCAGTCAGGACTGTTAGCCCAGTAGGGATCACAATGAGGGCACTCTGGCGTTACACATAATGCTTTCCCCCCATGGCGCGACACATATTGCTCTCTCCCTATGCTGGTGGTTTTTAAACCTCCCACATCACTTCTCCACTGCAGGGATCTTCATCAGCCTTAGGGGGCCAAAGAGCTTAAATCAGCCTGTGTTTGGTCCAGTCGACAGGGGTGTTGCGCTAATCACTAGAAACAGGCTGCTGAGATCTCCAGGAGACTAGTCGAAACAAGGATGGAGCAACTAGTGTGTGAGACAGAGAGAGAGAAAACGAGAGGGAGAGAGAGTGTGTCCCTCATGCTTCCACTTTTATTTAATCTCTTGAGCACTGCAACTGACAGACTTACTCAACCAGATAACTCCAGTTTTTCACAGTTAGATGCATATTCAGACTTTTTGAAACCCTTTAATATTTTTCAGCTCGTTCCCCTCTAAACATGGGACATTAAATATAGAAAATACTTCATTAGTAATGCCTGCTTCAATGTGAAGCACCAAATGGATGGATTTTACTACGCAGATGAGCAATAAGACATGAATGGACTTCCAAGGCTTTTTTTTGTTTCATTTTTTGGCTCTCGCACACTCGCACTCATACTTTTAGCATGATTAAGTCAAAAATAGGTGTGCACACAAGCGCAAGCAATAACCAATGATAATAAAGATGCACATAAGAAGAGAGAAAGCGAGAGTGAGGGTGACACAAGAAAGAGAAAGCATGAGAAATGGAGGGCAAAGAGGATGTGGGTGTTTCATGACACAGCAGGAGTTTATCGAGCAAAATGACTTTGCTTATCTATTCAATTAAAATGGATTAAGGAAGGCAGTGAATGGCAAAATAACCTTGCTAGATTGGCCATACAATTTCCTCAACCTGATTTGCTGCCCCTCTTACGCCCTCTAGTCCCCACCTCTGCTCTTCTTCCCATCCTCCTGTTCCCCTTTTCCTTCCCCATGCTAATTCGTGCACCTCTCCCTGTTTGTGTTTATGTCACACTTAATCTGTTATTCCACTTTGTATTGCCTCTGAGCTACATACAAGGCTTGGCAATACCTCTGTGCCTGCTCCTCATGTAAAGAAGATTAGAAGCGCTGATTGATTTGTCTTTGTCTCACGCTCTTCTGCGGTGGACACGGCTATTGGTAACCCATAGCGACAGTTTTTCCGTGGTAACAGTTAGCAGTGGTGACAGCTGAGATTGTGAGAATCAGAGATGCTGCCAGCATGAAAGCCGGCAGTGGGATACATGGGTGTCACGCACCTGAGACGGTGTCACGTGAAGCTTAACAAGCGTTTATGACTAACCACATATGGAACTTCAGCATTAACCACTAGCTCCAGACAGGGTGCATGTGAGTGTGCAGACAGAGAGGAGATGTGTCACACCTTTTAACTGTTTATGTATTCACACACAGAGGCAAGCATACACACATACAAGGGGTTGTGTTGTCTTCACTTGACACTTAGCCTAGGGCTAACTGCAATTTAGAGCCTTCCAACCTTTGGTTAATTGAGTTTTTGGCCCAGGGCTAACATTTCCCTCTTGAGAATTTTAAACTGGGCCAAATAAACCATTAACCTATGGCTACCTAATATTGTTCTGAGGCAGGGACACAGCTAATTCTCATAGAGTTATCAGCATAAAAATTCACAGCTGTGAAAATGTACTGTAACAAATATACTGGAGGCTTTGTTGTATGACGAGGTAGCTAACAGAGAAAACAGAGCAAACACTATTCCTCACAGCAGCAATGTATGTGTTATTAATTAGGTTGTGCCCAGGACTTAATAAAACTACCTTAAAGCAGATGTATATTAAATTTGAAGGATACTTTTTGAGAGCAAATAACAGAGGGTGGCTCTGTTAGGTAACTTAATAGAACCCTTATAAAATGTTAACACATTCTTTAAAAATTAGAGTGAATTATAGAGTAAAATATTTTTAATTAAAGTATGTTGCTGGTACTTTTGCAACACTTACAGTTAGGTTAGAAAATCAAAATGTGATTAAAGCGTCTTTCAGCTTTACTTCAACGGTTTTAATCAAAGTATTCGATTAACTGTATAGGAACTGCAACCATTTTCAAAAGGAATGCACCAGCCAGTTCAACAACATCAACAGGCTTGGAAGTCCACAGATGGCAAATACAGTGGTTGATTGCAGAATTCTTTCCTTGGTTAAGAAAAATCCTTCACAACCTCTAACCAAGTCAAGGATGTTTTCAAAGACTCTCAAAGTCTTTAAAGTTGGCTCAAAAGATGCCTTTATGAATGTTAACAGATAACAACTCGTTATAGTCAGTAACAGAAATGCATTAAACTATGACAGAAAACATCTAATAGATAATGGCCAAAAATATGCTCCAAAAGCAACACAAGAGTTTCTTAAGGCAAAGACATGCAGTAGCCTTCAATGATCAGTGCCTGAACTGAACCCACTGAATCTGTACAAGCAGTATTTGAAGGTAGCTGCAGTAAAGGCTTGGCAGTGGCAGAGCATCTCAAAGGAGGAAACACAGCGTTTAGTGATATCCATAGGTTCTTGCTAAATCCCTTGAAGAAAGTCTGCACTTTAACTACACGTACATACAGTTCGATTTAAAACCAACTTATTAACCTAAATGTACATAAGGGGAAAAGCTAAGTGGAAAATACGCTGTGAAGAGGGACAGAAACATATACTACTTCTGCAGCATCATTAAGAATCATTTGCTGCATTTCTCATCTTCCACATTCATGTCTACTGAACAGATATTTACAGCATTTGTAGAGTTCACGGCCTAAAAATCTAAAGCCTGATTCTTTTGAGGCTGAGAAATGACAAAGAGTCAGGGGTCACATTCGTCCCCCATCAAGCTGCTTGTTGGATAAATGGATATTGATATGGCTGCAACCCAAAATGAATTACTGATGTAACTAAAGCTCAGATTGAGACTGTGAGCCTGTGTTTTGCATACCCAAAGGAAATCTATTAGCTGCCATGTCAATGGTTCTGTTTTAATTCACTCTGTGGGAAATATACAGCGTATAACTGGTTGTAGGTGTGAATTTAGTTATGCGTGTGGATGATACAGCATTTGTACTGTGTATGTGTCTAAAGATGCTATAAATGATGCTGAAGATGAATTTGGCAAGCTGCCTCTGCAGTCTAGGCTGCAGCCAGACCTCCATCTACCTTATCAAACACAGACACACACGAAACACAGCCTCTCTCTCTCTCTTTCACTTTCTCTATATCTGACTTCTCTTTCCTGCTCGCAGTATTTGTGTAGGAAAAAGAAAAATATCCATGCATATAACTGTAAATTAAAACATGCTCACACTGACACATCTAATCTAAAATGTCCACTCATACCTGTGTTGAAACATTTGTACACAAGCACATATAAATGTCATCGACCAAGAAACAAAACAGTGTGTCATCTTATGTACCAGTTCCAAGATATCATAGGGAAATATTTTCTTGTTTTTTCGCCAATATTTTTCTTCTTTCTTTCTAAAAACTTATTTTTTCTGGTTTCTGTTTCTATCTTTCCACTTGTATTTGCTGCTACAGATTATGTCTTTAGCAATGAATAGGAACCATACTGTGGCTGTATTCAGCTGCTCACTGTGACTGAAAATACGAGAATATAAGCCTCTTAATCCAGAGTCATACCAAATAGCTGCAAAAAGCATTTACTTTCACATACATGTCACTGTATGTCTCAAGAACCAAGTAAATACTACAATGCAGGACTTCCTGTACATTATCTTTCTAAAACAATGCTTCTAAAACTTTATATGTATATAAAGTGAGGCAGGAAATCACAACTTAATGCAATAATATTTCAAATGACAAAAAAAATCACAAGGTTCCTTTTCACTATAGCCAAAAAGAAGAAATCTTAGTGCTGTCGAGTAATGTCTTAAATCACCTGCTACAACAATACAAAATTAAGTAGTTATTATTTTGTTAGAGAAGCTTTTAATTTCCTAAATGCCAGTAGTGATTTTGGAGTGACACACACAGATTAGACAATATAAAATGAATAGACAGTTATAAAAAGCTGTGATT